ACCTGTAGAACTGCTTTGGTATTTAGCTATTCAACATCGGTGACGTTGTCAGGTACTTCAGCAGGGACCTGCAAAAGGCTTCTGTGTTGCCATCTCCAGCAGCCACTGCATGTCCCCTCACCAGCATCCTAGTCTCTGCTTGGATTAAGGGATTTTATTTCATAAATGACGAGCTGAAGCACAAAGGTATGAAAAGAGAATCTGTGTTGCTTCTGTTCCAGTTTGGCATCCCTAACCCATATATCACTCTTCTTCTAAAACAGGGTCTGGTATGCCTCAGCCGTGACAGTTCCGGTTGTGCAGAAGCTGCTTTGCCAGCACAAAGCAATTCCGAAGCCAGTTCTGGAGCTTTCCTGCCACTTCTCAGAAAATCCCTGGGCTATTTGGGGGTTTTCCAGCGCTGGAGTGCCGAAGCGAAGTGTGCAGACAAAATGAGGGACCATCTCAGGCAGTGAAATAGTCTGGGGAGAGATGAGGGAAAGAGTGTATCAGGCAGTCCCTTGTAAGGCAGCAACCCCCAGCTTTAACACCGACCACCATCATAATGGCAACTATTCTTAAAAGAGCCCACAAGCTTCTCATCTACAGTAAAAGACCATGGAAGGAGAACAGCTAAGGGAGGAAAAAAAAAATAATCAGGAAGTGCAAAGGTAGTTCAAAGCTTAAAGGTGATTTACTCGTTTACTGCTCACACGAGGCAATAAATCTAACATATTAGGCAACATTCTGATCCCCTCCAGCGGCAGGAGAGCCGGGAGAGCTGCGGCTCCTTCCCGCCGGCTGTGACAGGGCCGCCCCGACGCTCCCCTTGTGCTGCCAAGGACTGAAGGCAGGTGCTGACATTTCCTCTAATAAGAAAATGTCTTTTCACCGCCAAAACTAACAAAGAAACTCAACTCTGAAGCACTGCGTGTGGAAACTATCCTTCTTCTTGTAGCTCACCTCTCTGTCCAGGTATGGTTTTCTCCCAAGAGAGCCCAGTTTACCGTACAGGCATGAATCACCCCTCTCACATGATGACTAACTCAGTAACTTTCCGTAAAAAGCGGAGTTTAAATAAACAGACTTTTGAGCGCTGTCCTCCACTCGGTACAGCACAGCGATTTCCCGCGGGATTTCGCCGCAAGTCCCTGGAGCAGACACCAGCCCGTCAGGAAGCCTTGGCCGGGCCAGCCCTGAGGGAGCCCCGGGCTCCGTTACACCCCGCGCGGCCACAGGCGCGGCGAGGGCAGGTCCACCGCCCCG